CAAACTCCTAATTTATCCCTCCCCCCCATTCCCCTTTGGTAACCACAGTTTGTTTCTTATGTCCATTAGACCCATTAGACTATTTCTGGTTTGTAAATAAATTCACTTGTATCATTTTTAGATTCCATATACAAGCAACATCACATGATACTTGTCTTTCTCTGTTTGACTTCACTTAATATGATAATCTCTAGGTCCATCAATGTTGTTATAAATGACACTATTTCATTCTTTTTTATGGCTGAGTACTAGTCCATTGTATGTGTGTGTATATATACACACACACCACATCTTCTTTATCCAGTCATCTGTTGATGGACATTTAGGTTATTTCCATGCCTTGATTATTGTAAATGCTGCTGCTGTGAACACTGGGATGCATGTATCTTTTCAAATTAGAGTTTTCTCCAGATATATGCCCAGGAGTCAGATTGCTGGATCATAGAGTAAAGCCTTTTTTCAATTTTTTAAAGGAACTTTCATACTGTCCTCCATAGTGGCTGCACCAATTAAAATTCCCACCAACAGTGTAGGAGGGTTCCCTTTTCTCCACACCTTCCCCAATATTTATTATTTGTAGACTTCTTAATGATGGCCATTCTGACTGGTGTGAGGTGATACCTCATTGTAGTTTTGATTTGCATTTCTCTAACAATTAATGATGTTGAGCATCTTTTCATGTGCCTGTTGGCCATCTGGATGTCTTCTTTGGAGAAATGTCTATTTAAACCTGCACTTTCTTATTGCTGTCATGGGATGGAGAGAAGTACTGAGGGAGGGCATAGCCTCTAGTTCCGCCCAGCTCTGATACCACATTTGAGTTTGGGGCCAAGATCTGATAAGAGGTAGAGAACTGAAAGCTCTGACGTTTCTGAAGAAATGTGAAGAAGGAAGCTGAGTGTGAACTACTATGAGAGAAGCATTGCTGATAACACTATAAAAATGGAGAGCCCTGCACTCTGGTTTTAATAATTTCCAGCTTAAGGAGGACCACCATTTTTAGATTTTAAACATTTGGCTAGTTCTCTAGTTTGCATAATAGAGTTAAACATTTGTGCACTGGAGTTTTCTGTTTCTGTATAAGTTATATTTTAAAAGGGCAGGGGACTTTACTTCATCTGGCAAACTATGATAACTATGATGCAGAGTTAATTGGTAAGATATTTAAGATGATTATTCTTTTAAGGTTGAAAAGGACCTTCTAAATCCACTTCTTTCAATTTCTCATAACTCACCCCAGGCATAAAAAATCTATATATTTTAAAGACAGAATATGGAATTTTTCTATAACTTCCATATGTAATCTATGCCAGTGTTTACAAGCCCCATGGTCATGAAATTCTAAATGAAAGTTTTTGCTTAAATATTCATGTTTCAGCTTTAGTGGATTCCTAATTCATATGCTTTCAAACCACTGCATGTTTAAAGACTACTAGGACTTTATCTCTTAGCCTTCTCTTTCTTAACATAAAGAATTATAGTTTCCATTGATACTTCTTCTCTCCCTTTAACTAATGTGTGTTAAGTGCCTTCCAAATACTGGGCACCCAGTTCACAATGAACACCCCACAACTTCACGTAATCTTCACAACATCTCTAGGAAAGAACACTAACTATGTTTCCACATGAAGGAACAGGTCACTGAACTCAGCCAGTGCAGGTTAAGGTTCAATTCCTTTTATTTTCTTCTCATCTGACTACCTTCTTTATTCATCTTCACAATTTCACAGTGTAGTAAAAAGATCACCACAAAGTCACAAATATGTGTTCTAGCTCTAGTGATTCCACCATTTTCTAGCTGACCTTCACATCTCTGGTTCTCTACAGCTCAGCTGGAAATAAGGGACGGGCATAGATGGTCTCCAAGTTCCTTACAAATCTATACAGTCTCTTATCCCAGTGTCCTCATTTAGCTCACTGGCCCAAAACCTAAGAGTGAAAGAAAGAGCTAAGTTGAGAGAACAATTATCAGATGAAGGATTTTGCTGCCATGACTACGTCCCATGCCCGCAAGCAGCAGTTGCCAGACAGTCTGGGCAAGTTTCCATTTGAAAACTTCTCAAGACACAGAACAGTCAAAGTATTAAGACCTTTCCCAAAGTGTGGGGTCCTTCACACTCTCTAAATCTTAGAAATTCCTTTGCCAGTGATGGAGTTCCGGGCAGGCTGCTCCAGAAGGTGCCACTTTGGCAGGTGGATTACTTGGACCAGGAGACAATTAAAGCCCAACAGATTCAAGAAGAGCTTTCTACCTCCGCCTTAAGTGCCTAAGAGAATTTAGATAGGAAGCCTGTACCAGGTAGAGAGCTATTATCAAAGATAACATTTTTACATAAGGAATACTCTTTGGCTTGGCATGGAAAACATTTGTTTACCATTTGCTCTTCCCAAATCCTGTGAATTGCCTTCCTCTCCTCTGAAGTCCCAAACCCTACCCCTGCTCCTTAGCACAGGATGGCACAGAAGCCTCAGTTGCCTGACTGCTGGGGAGCTTCTCCTGTCTTTGTGGGACTCCTTTATATACATAACTAAATTCATCTATCTACTGTTAATCTGCCTTAACGGTAACTTAATTATTAGGCCCCCAAAGAACTCAGATGGGAAGAAAGGAAAAGTTTTCCTCCCGTGCACTCATAGCACTTCTCATTTTCTTAAGCAGCAGTTACCTGAGTAAGGTTGCCAGATAAAATATGAGATGCCCAGTTATATTTTAATTTCACATCAACAAAGAATACGTTTCTATTCTAAGTATGTCCCAAATACTGCCTGGGCCATATTTATAGTAAGGAGCTCTCTCAGCAACTTTATCCTTGAAAGTCTGCTTAGAGAACTGAAAATTTCTCAGAAGTGAACTTCAAAGGTCTTCAAAGCAAGTCCTGAATTGACAAATCAAAATAATTTCTTAATTCATGAGATAAGTCAAATGAAGACTCTGGAGAAGAAACCATAGCCTGTTTCACAGGCTATCAAATGTAAGGTCTTGAAACCCCCAGTCTACATCCTCAAATAGTTCTCACCCTACACAGGACAAGGACCATGATTTATACTTTTTCAATTTGTATTTCCAGTAATACAAGAAAACTTGCTATGGTTGATGACAGGGTTTTAAAAGAAAAGGATCATTCTCTCTAAATTTCCTGAAAGAATAATTAAAATTGATTTGAAATTAAGAGCTTGACTTTCAAACCTTATGTTGTTTTCAAAGCTTCAACCTCTCACCAGAGTGTTCTTTAAAAGTTTCAGCATTTCACTGAAATTACAAAAGAACCTCATTAAGCGCTTGATACTTGGTTTCTAACTGAAAAGGTTATGCTTCCCTGCCGAGCCAAAGCACAGCAGCGATTACTCGCCTACCAAGTTAAAAAAAAAAACTAAAACTAAATAAATAAATGTTCCCATTTCTCAATTTTTTTTCTTTATTTCAATTTCTTCCCGACTTGGTTTTAAGTAAAATTAAGAATTGAGAGGGGAAAATGTGGTCAAAAACCAAAAAACTTCACAGCTTTCTCAAGGGAAGTATCCAAAACTATTAGGTAGTTGGATAAGTGGGGGCACCGGGCAGACAGATGGAGGAGAGGGAGGATGGTCCAGAAGATGGCCTTGTGCCCACCTCCCGCAGGCACAGTAAAGGGACTTTTCTAAACGAGCGCCAGCAAGAAACCGGTTAGAACCCGACAGCCATGACTACATGGTAGCAGAAAGGACTTAACCAGACATGACCCAATGTTCATTGTATTATAATTAACATTGTGGTTAAGTTCCCCCCACCATGGGTTTTTCTGTGTACACCACGCGTAAGGACATGCGCAAAGGGGCCAAACATGACTAAGCATTCCGGGGACAAGAGCCATTCATCGATTGAGACCACCTCTAAGGGAGGTTATAGAGAAAGGGGGCACAAAAACCACTGCTTTTTCCCCTTGGCTCAGCCCATCTCCCATTCTTGGAGGTGTACTTTTCTTTTCCTAAATAAATCCTTTAAAATCTCTCATTACACAACGCACCATCTCCCGACTATAACCTTAACTTTTGGGTATGACAAGAACTGAGGTCTTTTTCTCTTTCCTTTTGAGATAACAAAATCATAATCCCTTGCTTAAGAGTGTCCAAAAGGATGGAAGACAGGTTGAGGTTTGCAAACAATGACCAAGTTCAGTCCTTACACTTACAGTCAAAGCAAGGGTCAGTTTATTGTGAGGGAGGGAGGATGGGGCAATGAGAAGAGGTTTTTCAAGATGCTTTTGTCCACCCTATGCCTCCTCTTAATTCACTAGCAGAAAACTACTCAGTTCTCTTTAAATATATGGAATCTGAATGTGCTTATGTGACCTTCAAACAACATTGCGCTGGAAAGCAGTAAGGGAATACAGACGAACAAATACTAAGTCCTGAGGCAAAGGTCTTAATTGGCCTCAGGGCAGGACTTATAATAGCCACTTTCTGTTTTGACTCTTCTATTCTTACAAATGACAACAATAAAGAAAAGGTGAATGTGATTCATTGTTCAAAAATGTGAGTTCCTAGTGCACTTCAGAGGGGGTCGTTTTCTAAAGTCAGCTCAGGAAAAGTAATCTGAACAAATGGCAGAGGATTTCCTCTTCACAGAGTCTAGCATCTAACTCTATTATCAGCTGTATTATTTTTTCAAACACATATTATAGGCAATTCATTGGATTCCTGGGAATTGGGGCTGAAATAAAGAATGAATAAAAATAAATCAATGATAAAGAGGAATATTCTTTACAAGGCAGAATTGTCCTTCTACCCTGCTTGGCAATCATGAAAATAAGTTAAGAAACCCAAGAAATAAAATCATCAGTGACTGAAACCCAGGTTAGTTGGGAAAGGTCAGAGAGGACACTTCCACCTACTAGAGATCAAAAAGTAACTTATTTTAAATTCTCTTTGAAGAGGAACACATTTGCTTTTTAAAAGGTGCCAAGGGGCCAAGCAAGGGGATGATTTAGTAATCCAATGCCCAAGCCCCGACAATCACTTACTTTGTAAATGGTGGGTAGGATCTGGTTCATTTTCAGCCGGTGGAAGACAAAGACATCATAAACCGCTGAGACGGCAAGGACAGTCACTCCCTGTTCCTTCCACAACATGCTGCATCCGGCACACAGTCCCGTCCCCAGGAACCAGCCCCAGGTCCTGGCTGAGTAGCCTCTTGTTGAACAGTGTTTCACGTAGCAGAGCAAGGAGAGGAGGAAGAAGAGACTAGCCCCAACGTCAGCCCGTCCGACGATACCGGCCACGGCCTCCGTGTGAATGGGATGAGAGGCGAACATCACGCCAGCCAGGACAGTCCAGTAACCGTCCCCCAGGAGTATCTTGGAGAAGCTGGTGAAGAGACCAGTGACAGCCGCGTGCAGTAGGACATTGACCAGATGGTAGCTCCAGGGATTCAGCCCTCCGATGGCATGGTTCAGGCGAAAAGAGAGAGTACAGAGGGGCCGATAGGACTTGTGGCTGCCGCTGTGGGTTAGGAGAGTCCCCCAGAAATCATTGTAGAAAATGTGGGTCCATGGAGTTTCTGGGAGGAGGTCCTGATTAGTCTTGATAGCGCGGCTAAAAGACAAAATGTTAAAAAAGAGATCAAATGTAAAATGCAGAAAGGAAAAAAATAAGGAGGAAAATACATCGCTAAAATAGACTGCTAAAATACTGCCTTCTTTTGTAGTGCTGTCGGCATGTGGGTTTATGATGGGATTCCGGGTATATGTGATGAATGCTGGTGAGGCTCAGAGAAGGCATTACATAGACACTGAATTCAGCTCCTTAATGCTCACTAGCATCACAATTAAAGCTGTATTTCTTTTCCTCAAAAGCTTTCTTCTTTGAATGCAAATACCTCTGAAGAATAAATGCAAAGTTTCTATCAGTGGTTAAAGCCTCATAAAGCAGTGGCCACACAACTGCCCTCATACAGCATGTTGGCTAAAAATGCAGATTTCAGGCCCAAGGTTGACAGGAGGCCTGGGAATATGCATTTTTAAGAAGCAAAGTCCCAGGTGACACTGGTGCAGGGGACACACTTAGAGCAAGGACTAGCTCCCCTACTAGAAATAAATTCTAGATAGAGTATCAGTGCCCAGAGCAATGCTTGCTATACATGCAAACCACCTGGAGATCTGGTTAACTAGCAGGTAGGTAAAGGTTCTAATTCAGCAGGCCTGGGGAGGAACCCAAGATTCCATGTTTCTGACACCTGGAATTGTTCATTTACCTTCTATGTAGAAAAGCAAAGAACATGGCTTTGCAGGTACAAGAGTGTTCTGATGACCTAGTGCAAAGGATATCTTGGCCCAGTTAGCTGTTGCTGTTATTAATCTACAAAGACTGAGGTGTAACCTACAAAAAGTCCCTTATTAAATTCAGCTTGACCCACAATCTCTGAAATTAGATCCATCTGGGGACTGAAATTAACACAGATATCAACATGCATTAATAGCAGTAGATTGCCTACTCTGCCAAACACTATGCACTGTATATCCTTTCACATATATTATCTACTTATGAGAAGTAGCTGATTTTTTTTTAAGATGCATAGTAAAAAGGCAGAGGTCTGTTAAAAGTCACATCTCACAAAATACTGAATGTAACAGACTCCAGTTCTCCAATGTTTATATTTTCCTTTCCCCATACACATAGATCTTCAGTTTTTAGCTGAGTACATGGTCACCTGGAAAAAAATTTTCATTTCCTATCTTTCCTTGCTGCCAAATATATGGTCGTGCAACTAATATTTGGCCAGTGAAACATAAGCAGAGTGCTATGTACTACTTCTAAAATGTATTCTTAAAAGGAAAAATCTTAGCATTCTTCCTTCCTCCACCCTTATGCCTTGTCTTGCTGGAACACAGATGTAATAGCTGGAGTCCAGGCAGCCACTCTGGTCCATAAAGTGTCCTTAGGAACAGAAGTCATGCCAGCAGAGCAATGAGACTGGAGGAAATTGAGTCTCTGTCACAGGAGACCATACCAGCCCTGGGCTAACTATGTAAGTATAAGAAATGAACTGCTCTCTTGTTTAAGCTGCAATACTTTGGGTGTCAGCTAGTGGCAGCTGAACCTACTCATCAGTGAAATCCTTTGTTAACAGAAGACCTACTATATCACAGTGCTTTGATTTTCCAGTTTGATTTTGATTTTTACAAGTCTCCGTGTATTGACTGTGTATTAAATGAATTTCCATATAAATTGGCTTTTAAAATATTAGAAACAGATGTTATTCTGGATCCATTAAATTAAAACACCCTGTTATGACATTCATCAAGAGTCTAACCCAGAAGTAATTGCTAAAGACTTGATGGGTTATAATTAAAATTTTAAAGAAATATGAAAAACTGCCAAACAGTGTTGTCAGAGAGAGCTGGTTTCAAGCCATTGAGAATGAAAAGCCAACTGGCCTCTACTAAACACTAACCTAGATAGTGATGTGAATTTCTGTAATATCAATGCAGAAACACTCGTGCTATCAGTCAGGGCAGCAGAAAGCTCAACAGCAAAGTATTGTGGGAGGCGGCTTTGCTAATTTCACAAGGAAAGCTGGGAAGCATGTTTTGTTTAGGACAGTATTTCACCCTTTCAGTGGCAGATCCATTTGGAAGGAGAAGCATGTCCCTAAACCAAGTTTTCTACATGCTATTAGTTCAGCTCCATAACCAACTCTATAGACTTTTTGAGGGAAAGGAAAAAAAAAAACAAAACCATGCACTCTTTTAAAAATCTGTTCAAAGCCGCCAGAGTTTCTTATATTCATAGTAATAAATCTAGTAATCTACAGCAGCCAACAAGATGTACTATAAGCCTAACTGTCACAAAACAAGGACTTCAACACAAAGAACAAAACTAACACATCGCATCGTTTCCCTGGGAGAAAAAACTTTGATGAGGCACAGCCCTAAATTTACACTGTAGAAGAAAAAAATTTCAAGGCAAACAGTATTAATAAAACAAAAGTAGAAAAGCAAAAGTAAACATCTCACCCGTGTTGAAAACATATTCCAGTAAGGGAGACTTTGGTCTGATAAAATGCTGTGACGGGTGTTATCTGATTAGGCAGGTTTTTGTGTATCCCATGAACGTCACGGCAGAACATGAAATAAATCGCACTGGGCTTTAGTACATAAGTCATGTCACACGTGCAAGTCCGTGAAAGGAGATGCACTATGTATCCTTTACATATTAAGAAAGATACGGATGCAAAGGGATTTAATGGAATCTTAATAATCTGAATAACCCAGCAAAAGAAGTAGTAAAGGTAGTCGTTCAACACTAAACATAATAGATTTTCATCCGTTTGCATTTCCTTACACAAATCCAAAATGGAAAGAGTGAACCCTCTTCAGCTATCTCTCAGCTAATGAAAACGCTCAACTCAAAACAAAATTTCATGCTGACAGAATTTCTGAGGTAACTTCTGTGAAGACACTAAGGAGTTAGGAAACGTTCCACTTCAGGAAAGGTGAGCAAGTAAAAGCAGCAGATGCGAAAAAGAAACAATCAGAGGCAGAATTCTCCTGAGAACACGACCCACCAAGAGACTGTCTTTTGAAGCAAAAAGATCCAGTCTCTCAAGTCTTCAGGGAGGTCTTAACCTGTTTGCAGTTTCATTCATTTGTGGCTCTTTGTTTTCGCTGCCGTGTGATTTTTCCTTTAAAAAAACGTTGACAAAGGCCAGCACTATTGTAAAACTGACGAATGATCTGACACTGCCCCCTCACCAGCCTTGTGCGTGTTCCTCTCACTGCAACTTCTTCTGTCCGTTGACCTTTTCAGTCACAGCACATAAATGATGACCCTGAGTCCTTCAGGGCAGGAATGATGCTTCAATTCTCCAGACATCAAATGACACACACTCCCCAAGGGCTTACAATTGTTCTACTGAAGAGTGTCAGCCGAGGGGGGCTGGAGAGGGATTCGAGAAGGTGAGCTGCCCAACTGGAAAAATGCGCGAGGAGCCGACTTGGAGCGAAACAGCACTTTATTCTAGTACAAGATGGCGCGCACGGGCGGCGCTCAGGTGTACACACTTATCCTTTTATAATGCTAGTGGCGCATGCGTGGTGGTCATAATAGGGGGAAAACACGCTGCTGGCGCATGCGTACATTTACCCCTTACCAGGTGCAAGCTATTGTGAACTTTGGCCTGGGCTCCACAGCCTACTCACTTAAGGCTGCTGACAGTAAGTAAAAGCCAATGTTTATATTATAAAAACAAAATTCCTTTTTTTTTTAATACAGAGGTACTGGAAATTGAACCCAGGACCTCGTGCATACTAAGCAGACATTTCTGCCATTGAGGTATACCCTCCCCCAATCCCCAAAAAATTTTTTTAAGTGATGAGTTCAAATTTGTTCTGTAGGAGAAAAAAGAGAGAATGGTCTTTGTTAACGTATCCTGTTTCAGTGCTACCCAAGCACGCCTACCTATGCCGAGGAAGGGCAATGTAATGCAGCGGTTGAGAAAACTGATTCTGGAACCAAATGGACCAGCCCAGTCTAAGAGACAGTGGACAGAGTGACTCCACCTCTCCATACCTCAGTTTTCTCATCTGCAAAATAAGGATGAGAACTGTGCTTGCTTTACAGGATCATTTTGAGGAGTAAATGAGTTAGTAAGCAAAAAGCACATTGTTATATATAATATGTGTATATGTTATATTTGTAACATGTTAGCTGTTATCATTGTATTATTGTTACTACCATCAACACCAAACAACCAGTGTTGGCCATCAATGCAAACACTGTGCTCTTTCATCACCTTTACAGCCTTTAAAGTCTAGGTATCGTGGTCATGAATATTCCACTTAAAATTCCTTTAAGCTTTATTGACACTCTCAGCACAAAGTAATACACATTTAGGAAAGTCTTACCTTTGTTCTTTAACACATTACTCTTTCCGTTCCCCTTCTATCTTTTTGACTACCTCTTCCCAACTCTCCTTGGCTGGCATCTCCTTCAGAGGTTTCTCCCAAATGTGGATGTTTCACTCCTGGTCCTGTCTCCTGACCTGTCTACACTTTCCAGCTCTGTGGTCATCATCTCTGACACCTGCAACTCAAGAGCTGCTTTCTACTTCACTGCCTCCATCCTGGGTGTTGCTCATAAGCCTACAGTTCTATTTCCCCAGGTGATATCCATACCTGAATGATGAAATCCTGGCTCCACAACTAACAGCAGGTGTATTACCTTCGGCCAGTTAGTCTCTCTAAAGCGCAGCTACCTTACCTATGGTTAGTAGACAGTAATAATGCTTCTCACAAGCTGTTGTGTTGAAGATCAAATGAGGCAATGTCAGCTTGAATGTTTGAAAATTACAGAGCCTGATGTCATAGACTGTTTTTTTCAGCCCTCTTCTTCTAGTTAACAGTGTCCTGTTTTTCCTTTTGAGAACAGGCCACATCCACCCTCAGTCCATGTGAAAAGAATGAGGCTATTGTCCTCACCTCCTGATGAAAGGTCATCATATGATTTGGCCAATGAGGGTACTGTATCGCCCCATCCTCATTCCCGGCCACAACAACTGACTTACCAACCCAGCTCAAAGTCAACACAGCTCCAAT